AGCACGTAGTAAGAAAAATAGAGCAGGAGCTACGGCTAAGCTAGGACCGTAGAAAGTCGATTCGGCGAAATTAGCAGCAACTCGGACTGATATATGGAACGACTTGACTCATTTAACGTGAGATCTTGAATGGAAAGCGTACAAAATACAACTTGCGCAAGAACTGAAACCGCTCGCTCACTTCGCTCTAAGGGGCTCTTAAAAAGAAGGTCTGCTGTTTTCAAGCAATCTTTTTTTAATGGGACCCCTTTCTGACTCAATAGGTATGTACACAAGCCAAATTGCATCATTTGGGACGAAGAGTAACCTAAAAAGATTAAGAGCTGCCATTTCATTAAGAAAAAACAACGGTTTGTTGTGGTTTGTTGACCGGTACAATCATCGATATATATTTCTTCAAAAATGTTCCAGTAAAAAGGTAACCGGCAATTGGGACCGTTATCGCGTAATGATTACCGACTACTTGATGCCCGAAATTGATCTCGGCGACATTTGGTTTCAACAAGAGGGAAGAACCCCTCACATTGCATCAATCAATGGATTTTGGGAAATAACAGACACCCTAATGTATATACACATGTGTGTGTTTAGCTTGCATTTCTGCTTTTCTTTGGCACGTTTTTGTTTACAATCGACTCGCATGTCACATTGAGATGTGGTAAAAATTTCAAATGCCATTTTGCAAATAAATTCCCAGCACGCGTAGCCACACGGATACACACACACATACATAGGTACGCACAAAGTTACATATGTATGTATGTAATTTGAGCAACACACGGTCGCAGACATTGACACAGGTATTGCGTTTCAATCGCAGCAAGCGGAAACTGGCAGCACTTTATGCTAAGATGGCTGAAAAGCAGCTAAACGCACAACAACACTCTAAGCCAACTTTGTCTGCCAAGGCAGTTAGGCAGGCAGCGTGTGCGACAGCCAACCAAGATGGCTATATGTGTGTACGTATGCGCTTAGGTGTCACGCACTGACAGAGTTCGGAGGTGTTCGCCGTGTTTATGTATATGTTTGCATGTATATATGTGTGTATGTGTGTTTAGTTGCAGTATGTCTGTATGTCTGCTTGTCGAAGGAAAAACTCTTAAAGCTCATTGCGGGATGTTGCGAGTATACAAATTAAGGGATGTTATATGTGTATACACATGTGGCCATTTAATTTTCGTGCAATACGTGAAAAAGAAAATTGTCAAAAGATATAAAAAAATGTATGCCAAATGCAATAATTTTTCACTTCCTAATTTTCAACACAAAAATTGCCGTTAAAAGAAGTTGAGTAGCGGAATTTATGTGGCTGGCATATGTATGACGCGCAACAAAAAAGGTACACACACAAATCTTGACATTGCTGCCATTGTATAAATTGATTGCCTGGCTGCAGTTTTTTGTGCCTTTTTAGCATTTTTTCAACACAAATCACGAAACATTGCAAGCAAATCTTCAAAAATCTCCACTTTACTTCAAACAAGCAAACTTTTCAAAATTGTTGCTTTAGGCGTTATTTGCATTTCGCATTTTTCACTAAGCACACAAACACATATACCTTTTTTATGTATTTTATTCTAGCATTTTTTCTTGTGTGTTTTTTTTTTTTTTTTTTTTGTTCACAAATATTTGTTGTAACACAATTCGTTGTGCGAGTTATCGAGTCAGGTGTTCATCCTTAACTATTCCAAACGAAAGACTGAATCTGGAATTTGACAGGAACTTGCCATTGCAGCCAGCAAGATGGATTACTTAATATAATAGTTATTTGTGCTTTTTGGCCGTTGTTGTTTTTGTTGTTTCAAAATCAAAAAGCTCGTGAGCGCTTAAGAAACTCAGAGCGCATATGGCAGTTAAAAGCTCCAAGGGAACATAAACTCAGCGCAGCACGCGCGTGCAATTGCTCTTCTGTCTTGTATGTCTGATTTTGTTGTTTGCTTGTTGGCGGCTGTTGGCTACTGCCAAGTTACCTGTCAAAAGGCGCGAATACCGCATATAAACAAACACAAATGGCATGCTTGCAGGACATTGTGATAAGGGAGAACATACGTTGATTGCGCGCTCTCTCTCTCTCTCACTTCCTCATTTTCGCTCTGCGCGTTTACGCTTTTTTCTCGCTGAGTTCTCTGAGCGCTTGTGCACGCGTAGCGGATATGAATGAAGTGTTCATGTCCTTGTAAAGTGTCTTGTGTGTAAGAAATAGCGAATGAAGCAATAATAATAAATATTAATTTGATTATAGTTGCTTAGACATGCAGTGCCCAGAGCGCATTCGTTGGCTGTCATATTGCTGTCAGCAGTTGCCAGTGCTTATTACTAACACAATTATTCTTTATATACCATACATACTTACATAAAGGTAATATACATATATGATGTGATGGATGATTTTAATTAACCGTTAGTCATTAAGTTGCCGCTACAAACATCTATTTTTAGTTGAAACCTGTTAAATGATTAAGGAGCGTATAAAATATTAAAGTTATCGATGTGAAAGAAATGTGTAAAGCGAAGTGGGCAAAGCGAAGGGTGTAATTAAGTCTTCAGCTCCGCAAATGAATCAAGGCTTTGGTAAAACAGATATCCGTGGTTATAGCGCGCCAGTCGTTTTTCCTTTTCCTTGTTTGGCGCGTAGCCTGTCCATTCTTTGAACTATGCCAATGTCGTAATACATCTCAGCCGAGCTCATACTTCCATCGACTGCAGTTATCGCCGTTACCAATGCGCTAAGGATCAAAAATCTTCCACAAAACCTTTCTCTCGAAAGCTTGTAACGCCGACTCATCAGATTTTGTCTTTGTTCGTGCCTCTGCACTATACAACAGGACGGGCTGATAAGTGAATTTGTAGAATTTGACCTTTATTCGTCGAGAGTCCGAAGTTGCACGTGTTATTCTGTGTCGAATATCGAGGTTGACGTTGTTGTTGGTGTTATACGACGAAATATCTACGACTTCGAAGTTACGACTGTCAACAATGACGTGGAAGCAAAGCCCCGAGTGCGACGACTGTTTGTTTAATGACAGGAGATATTTCGTCTTGATCTCGTTCACTACCAGATCCATTTGCTACGCTTCCATATCCAGTCTGGAGCAAGCTGAACTAACGAAGCTGACGAAAACCAGTTAACGCTATAAATATTCAGAGGTACATATCTAGCGAAATTTAAAATAAGAAGTTCGAGAAATCTAACTGCGGATAGGAAACTGATATTGTACTGGTTATAAAGATCAACTCTCACGTAGACGAAGCTACATATATTCCAAAGTCATCCGAACTGAAGTATATGTTCGGAGATTGTGGCATTTCCTCGTAAAATAATCCATTCCAAATTTCTTGAAGAACCTACTCTCTTGTCAAATAAAAGGTTATCCACATAAGACTTTGATTTTGACCAATCAGTTTGAATATATTTGATAATGGTCCGATGTCGGCGGTTTAGCCCGCTTCGCTAATTTTTTTTATATGCACTTTACATAGTCTCCATCTTTTCCTTTTGTATGTTATAAAATTCGTGGCAAATTGAATTTCTTCTGCTTTGGAAAAAAGAGAGAGACCAAATTTTATAATAGTTTTTACGACAAAGATTTGACTCTGCTAAACAACGGCGGCTTTGGTCAACGACCTATCTGTCTGAAGGTACTTAATGATTTCTGAAGTCGAGTCTGGATAAGTCAAACCTTACATACTTATTCAAGCTGTTGATCTAGGGAGTAACTCAAGCTTCTTATTTAAGAATGTGAAGTGTCAAAATCTTCTAAAAAGGAGTTATAGTCTACCAAAAGTACTCTTGATTAAGGTTGTGGTGTGGTTGATTCTTCCTTCTGCAACTACTATCTGATCAAATTTGACCTGGACTGACAAAAAACACTGTTTTAAAAAGTGGCTTCCGAGCTTATGCAAGTATGCCAAAGCTTAATACCATTTAGTTAATTGGCAGGTATGGCCTTTAATGCCTGCAGCGACATTTTTTTTCGGTTTGGGCTAATCTTTTGGTATAAAATACCATAATGCGTTGATTCGATTCATAATATGTTTTGAGGTAAAATGTTTTGTGCCACTCAAATGTTATGTTGCTAAATTAGTCTTAGACAGAAATAATTTATATGTATGAGTCCGCGTCAAAATTGATCAGTTGTAATTTATCCCTGTTTCTGCGAACGTCACTTAAATTTTGTCACTTTCCATAACCTTAAAAATAAAATTCAAAATTGATAGTCTTTATAATATTGTCCGATAATTTATTTGTATTACTTCAATAGAGTTTTCATTACTGTTGTTGCTTTGTTAAAACTATTTGCAATTACTGTTATTTACTTGCTTGACGTTTTGCCCATTTTGTTGTTGCTGATTTTTCAAATAGGTATGTATGTATGTAAGTATTGTGGGTTTCATTGCTAAATACTATTACCTTTTATTTATTTATTCTTTTAGTATTAACCTGGTATGTAGGTATGCATTCATGTTAGTTTCAATTTTTCATTGCCACATAGTTTACTATATTTTTTACATAGACCGTTTTTTTAATTATTATTTTTCAGTTATTTTCTTCATTTCTTTTTCGTATATATGTATATGTATATGTACGTTACTTTATCTTTATAACTTTTACAATTACAACTAATATTAAGTGTGTGAATTAATACAAAAACAAAACAAAATTACTAAATTATAAAAGAAAAATCAACTCATACAAATTCGCATCTGCCACGTGGTTATGCTTTAATTTAAATTTAATTTTAACTACATATATAGATATATACATATATGTATGTATATCAAGGTGACCACTATTTCGCAGGTTGATTTTTTTTTTTTGCAAAAGTCGCCTGAAATTTCAATTTTTGCCATAAAAATAACGTGAACAAGCTCTTCATTTTTAATTTAAACCGCAATTAAATCATATTTATTTTCCCATGTGCATGCATATATAACATGCGATTTTTTGATATTTTGCATTAAGCTAATAAATGTATAACTTTAAAAAAAATATTCTAATAGAAAATTTAGTGTTCTAAAAAAAAGACTCCCGTCATTTTTTTCATGAAAACTTTCCTGTAAAAGTTATACGCAGTTAATATTATGCACTCTATTCACAGGGTACACCATGTCGTATGAGCAACATAGAATGTAAAAAATCACTTTTGTATAATCGCTTTGCAAAAAATTTCTGAACGTTTTTTCATAAATGCATTCCCTTAAAAGTTATACAGCAAATCATAAACGTGCTGTATTCATACAGTACACCATGTCGTATGAGCAAGAAATAATGTATAAATCACTTGTATGAATGCTCAGTTGCCTTGATGCATAATTTTAATTGTGTATAACTTTTAAAGGCATGAGTTTATGAAAAAAATATTCAGACATTTTTTGTAAAGCGGAATGTTTTGTATTAGAATATCACTTTTTCAAAGTTGTATGTATTTCCACTTTAGAGATAAAAGATCCATATAAAAAATATGGAAAAATTAAAAAATTAAGATTTCGATGCAGTTTAAATTGAAATTAAAGAACTTTTTGACGTTGTATTCTTATTTTAGGACTAAAAGTAGGATTAAGGTGCAATTTAAATTAAAATTAAAGCACTAGTTTACCCTCCTTTGCAAAAAAAAAAATCAACTTGTGAAATATATATTAGAAAACCGTGTGTGGAATTGTGGTGGTGGTACAGCAAACATGCGTACCTCTCACAGCAGCGGATTTAGCTAAACACTACACAAATAAGTCAATTTGTTTTGTTTATTTTTGTTTGTTTTATATAAGAATTGTTTAAATTTAATATGTATTTTGCATTTTACATTCACACTAATTAATGTACCATCATATGCAATAGTTGATTTCATCAAATTATCTACAATTAATTAATCTTCAAACGAGAACCTAACAGCTTATCGCGGCACGCATCAGTGTGACAACGATTTATTTGGAATCCAATAAATATTACACTATCATAACAAACAATATTGCGGGGGTAGTACACTGTTGTTTTTGTGGTTTTATCGTATTTTTGTTTTTGTTAAATTTCTTTTAAATATATATTTAAATTTATTTAGGTATGGAGTTACTTTTTCTTTTCTTTTTAAAGTGTTATATCGCTTACTTGCGCATTTGCCGCAATTTCTAAAATATTTGCTATATGCACATGTTCCAATTGCTCCAAACTGGTATATTTATTATTTAAATATCGTAACCTTCAGATATTTCTAGTTGTTGTTGTTTTTATTTAAAATCAGTCCATGTACCATTGTGTTCGTTTACTTCTTATTTCTGTAAAAAAAAAAAGAAAATAATAAAATAAATATTTCTTTAAAATTACATAAAACAGAAACTCACCTGATAGCCCTGTCCATAATATTGTTAATACGCGTCTCTGAGTAGCCTGGAACTAATTTGTGAATTATCTCTTTCAGGAACAAATCACTGACACCTGGACTGCTACGCTCGGCCAATTCCAATACTGACTTTAAGTCACCAATGTCCGTAACGTTTGAATTTTTGCTCGAATTGGCGTACTTTCGTTGAATCTGCGAAAATAAAAATACCATTTGAATAAAACAAAAGCAGAAAACGTTAACTTCGGCTGTAGTAGCCTTCACATATAAATTTCTTATAGCATAAAAGGGTTTAAAAGTTCTTTTCTTTATAATCGGAACAATTTAATCGAATATTGCAGATGTGCCTTTGATATTAATCCATGACAAATTTCGTGCGGATATTTTGTCAAATAAAAAAGTTTTCCATACAAGAACTTTATTTTGATTGGTCAATTTGTATGACAGCTATTTGCTATAATGGTCCGATCTGACAAATTCTTGGAATAATGCAGATTTGCCTTTAACAAAAATTTTAGTCACATTTCGTGAAGATATTATGACGATTAAAAAAGTTTTCCATACCAGGACTTATTTTTGATTGGTTAATTTGTATGACAGCTATATGCTATAATGGTTCGATCTGTATAATTTTTTCGGGGAATGCAGATTTGCATTGGAAAAAAATGCAGGCAAAATTTCGTGAAGATATCTCGTCAATTAAAAAAGTTTTCCATACAAGGACTTGATTTTGATCGGTCAGTTTGTATGACAGATATATGCTATACTAGGTCGAAAAGGGCAATTTCGACAAAAGAGCAGCTTCGTGGAGAGTAAAGAGCCTGTGCAAAATTTCATATCGGTATCTCAAAAACTGAGCGACTGGTACGGGTCTATACAATCAGACAGATGCCGACATGTACAAATCGACTCAGCCCGTCAAGCAAATTATTTAGATAATTTACGAAAAAATAAAAAACAAAACACTCACATCCGTAAGAACTGGAAAGAGGAAATTATTCAGACATGCGCTATTCGTCTGCATCACACGATTGCCACCCAATTTGTGATTGGAATTATTGGACGACAAAGCTGTGGCGGAGGCGGACGCCGACGCGGATACTTCCAATGCCGCGCCATATGAACGCTCGCCATGCGTGCTACTATTTGACAATGCTGAATTGCCATTGTAATTGCCACCACTTGAGCTGGAGCTAAGCATCGGCGACGAGTTGGATGACAAGCCGCTGGCATGCATACTACGTCGCTGCGCACGCGATTCTTCTTCACGCAGTTGATCTTCGCTTTTGGCATGCTCGATGAGCTGCAAATAATTGTTGTGAATTTTTTATTGCAAATATCATATGATTCAAATGACTACCGATGAGCGTCGCTGTTCGTGTTCGTCATCTAGTGAAGCGGAGCGACTCTGCCTTAGGTTCGATTTGGACTCCTGGAAGACCGCATTGCTGCTACTGCTATTACTGATCTTCTTCATGCCATCAGCATTTGGCGAATTGCTGCCGCTCGACGACGATAGCAGTTCTTGGCTGCCCGACGATTGCTTATGTGTTGGACTGAGCGGTTGATGCGCTATATTAGAGCTGGATGAGCGTATGACACCAGCCGAAGCCGCTGCTTGTTTGTAATGATTTAAGTTGGTATCGCGTTGTGTAGCTGCGGACGTGGACGATGATGTTGATTGTTGAGGCGGACTGCCCGCCATGTTGTCGTGCAATTGCTGTTGTTGCGATGTGGCGGACGGTGACAACGCTACCGAAGTTGCGCCACTACCCGGATAGTGTTTGTTGGCCGCATTAATTGCGATCGGCGTTGCTCCGCTGCTTTGTGATAATTTCTGTGCTATTTTCATGTGTTCCATCTCCTTAAAGCTGCTATTGGCAATCGATTCGCGTGGTGCCTTATTGTTGCTGAGCCCTTTAACGGTCATTATCCAAGGTTCGTCATTATTGCCGCCAGGTTTCGATTCGTCACTGGATAAGAAAATATACAAACAGGTTAGAAGATATTTAAAGTATTAAAATATATAAATATTTATTTACGAATCTGAATTCTCCGATTCTGTTTCGCTTTCATCACCCTTCTGCAGCTTCCATTTTTTATAACGATCAATTAAATCAATAAGGTACGAGTTCTTCTTGGCTTTCTTGATAAAAGGATATTTCAATAGTTCCTTGGCTGTCGGTCTCTATTTAAATATAAATTGCATTTAAATAACAGTAAATATATTTTTATTTCAAAAAACGCACATTTTCAGGATCCTTGTTAAGGCACGCTTCCACAAAATCTTTAAACGATTTCGTATAGTTTCCCGTTAGTTGTGGAGGATTATTCTTCGGTATCAAAAATAAAACTCTCATTGGATGCAACTCCGAATTGGGCGGCTCACCCTTGGCCAATTCAATTGCTGTGATGCCCAGTGACCAAATGTCCGCTTTGGAATCGTACATGGACTGTTTTATCACTTCGGGTGCCATCCAAAATGGTGTACCTACGAATGTATTCCGTTTCGACGTTGTGTTCGTCAACTGGCCGGCAACACCGAAATCAGCCAACTTTACATCACCCATTTCGCTTAGCAATACATTGGCCGCTTTGATGTCTCGATGTAATTTGCGTTCCGAATGCAGATAGTCCAGACCCTTTAGCACTTCTCGCAATATGATTGCGATGTGCATTTCCTCGAAAGAACCAGCTTTCATTAGATCCAGCGCTGAACCGCCGCCTAAATACTCCATAATTATCCATAGCTTTGTACCCTTTAAAGAAATGGAAATTTTATTATTTTTATGGGATTGGACTACTAAAACTAAAAATCTCGACTTCTGGGCTAATTGCAATACGGGTTGAAATTGGTGGCCCCTTCTACTTCTTTTACTTTGTTTTAATGAAAATCATCGAGTGTTCTTATAGAGGAAATCTTAAAAGTTGTCTTAACATGTTTCTTACAATTCCCACAGCAGGTTGTATGTTACCCGAATTGGACGTGATTTTATTCGACCAAGGGATGTTTTTTCGCCGACAAAGTCCTATTTAAAGCGCTAAGCATAAACAGGTTTCTTACAATAAATTATTATGACTTTTTGTATTTTTGAGAGAATGATTTTGATGATGATGAATTTGAGAAATCACGTTGTTATAATAGGCACTTTTGAAGTACTTTGAATACCTAGACTGCTCGTATACTATTCCGACGAGATTCGATCAAAAATAAATTGGTATAAAAAACTGGTGTAAAGAAAATTTACGCCAGAAATTTTTAAAATGTATAAAAACATGTACTTACTTTTAAAAGTAGGCTTTGATGAAGGACTCATCAAAAAGAAATTGGTATAAAAAACTGGTATAAAAAGAATGTAAGCCAGAAATTTTTAAAATGTATAAAAACATATATTTGCTTTTAAAAGCAGGCTGTGATAAAGGACTCATCAAGAATAAATTGGTATAAAAAACTGGTGTGTTGCATTCTCTATACGTTTACAAATACTCCGAGAGTGACTACTCGATTTTATATTACACGTGACGAGCATTTAATTTTTTTAAGATTAAAATAAACATGGGTTTGTTGCAATAGAATAACAAAATAGAGCTCAGTAGAAGACGAATCGAAATATTTGGTATAAAATATCTGGTATAAAGTGGAAGGGAAGAAAAGAGTATAATGGCGAAGTCCCAGAAGATTAGCAATCAGTGCGCTCGTCGGTGGATTGGCACACTTGGTCTAAAAAATCTGGTATAACGTGCGACTAAAAGTTTCAGTTTTATATTATTCATGATCGCCATTTGCAATTTTTTTTAGCTTTAAATAGTTCTTGCTGTAGTAGATTCGTCGGTTGATGGACATATTTGTATAAAAATCTGGTATTAAGTACAAGTTAAAGAGAGTTAAATATTAGGCGAGAAATCTGACCAAATCAGTCATGTCATGCCTTAGTAGTCACTCGGAAAAGCTTTTTAATACCCACAGAGTGAAAAGTCGATTTTATATTACTCATAACGGGCATTTTTAGTTGTTTTTTGAAATAAGTAGTTTATGTTGTAGTATAATCCTTAAATAAAGTTCAGTGGAAGAAAAAGTGTAGTACACAGGTCGGCAGATCAACAAATGTGGTATAAAAATCTGATATAAAATGCAAGTGAAAGGGAAATGTTAATTATTAATGAGGAATATTAAAGAAATCCGAGTATATCAGTAACAATGTATTTTAGTAGACAAAATAAATGCTACTAAGCTTTTTAATTCGAGATCGGAGGTTTGTTATAATTTAATTATTCAATCTCAAATATTTTCAATATAATTTCTTTTATACTTTATATATGCAAGATACCTATATACACATAAGTTGATACAGAGTTATTGTCCGAAAAATAGTGCTTAACATTCGAACAAAGCCCGTTCATTGCAGTATGCCTAAACTTTTCATAAAATGCTCACCTTAAGATACGATCCATAGTACTTTGTAACGAACGGTGAGTCACATTGTGACAGTACCATAATTTCCTGTTGTATATCTTCGATCTCATCTTCCGCCTCTTCCAAATCAATTATTTTGATCGCCACGACCTGGTGAAGAAAGAACAATGTTTTTCAATATATGTATAGGTGCAAAAAATCACAAAAATAAACCTGTTGCGTTCGATTGTCGATGCCTTTGAATACCTCGCCGAAGGAACCTTTCCCGATCCTCTCTTGTTTCGTGAAAATTAGCTCGGGATCCACTTTCTAAAAGTAGAAATACAAGAAAAATATAATTAAAATTTAGATAAATGTTTACAACTCGAAAATTAATTACATTTTGTTAAGACTTGAATACACGCATCGTACTTGTCTACTTAGTAAACAAAACTTTTATATTTCCACATATACACGCATGTACATACATACATACAAATGTATAGTATGTCATTTTATGTATGTACGTTTGTATGTGTATACATGTGTTTGTCAGTAAACATGTTCAAAGGTATTTACTTATTAGCTTTTGTTTATGTCACTGGTATTTTATCTCAGGCAAAGCAAACCGATAAATACTTGAGCTGTTTGGTAGCCAAGCAGTCGATACAATTAAAAACAAAAACACGACAATGTTATCATTAATGGCGGCTACTTTAGGGGTGCATAGTGCGGTAAAAATGGCTTGGTGCGTTTTTTTTTTTTTTGTTGATAATTACTATAATATGGTCATGATTGAGGTAAAGTGCTATTTTAGATTTAATAAAAGAAGTAATGAGTAACGTTTGATGTTCTCAGCATTTATCACCATTTAATATAACTATGTACATACGTATGTATGTATATGAGTAAATATGCACTTAAATTTTATTGATAAACCACTAGAGAACCCCTTTATTGTCATGCATTTTTGAAATTGCTGAGCAATACGCTTTATTACAGGGCGCTTAACAACTGCCATACACAGCTGACTAACATAATGCAAACATACATACATATACACATGGTCGAGAAAAAAATTATCGCATTTTTATCATGAGATCACGGTGTTATTTTCTTCAATTGGGATGAGTATTAACATCGATTTAGAAAGTTCTGTCTGCCTGTACAAACGCGAACTAGTATCTTAGTTTTTCGATATCGATCTGAAAAGTTGTTCACGTCCTTTTCTTTCCAAAAAACTGATTTTTTGTCGGAACCGTTTAAAGCGGTCCACTAACCCAAACAACTGTCTATCTAAAGTAACCAAAATCAAGTCCTTATATGGAAATTTGACAAATTATCCTCACGAAATTTGGCATGGATTATTGTTTAAGACAACGGTACCGTCTTCGAAGAAATTGTTCAGATCAAACCACTATATCACAAAGCTGTAATACAAACTGATCGCTCAAAATCAGGTTTTTGATTGGAAAACATATTTATATGCTAAGATATCTTCACGAAATTTTACCCAGAACAGTGTCCAAGATAACGGTACAAGAAGACATTATTCCGATCGAACCACTATATCACATAGTTGCCATATAAACTGACCGATCAAAATCAATATAAACATCTTTTTCTACACATTTATGCCATAAGAACTACATCTGCGAACGATATTAAAGCTTTGGTGCAGCAAAAATTAACGTTTTTGTCTTTTTTTAATTTGTAAATATTTTATTTAGTTTGAACTATTCGTAGCCACTAGAATAAGGTGATAATTAATTGCCACTACGAGTTGGAGACAAACAAAATATTATTTTCCTGCTTCAAGATATCGAAAAAGGAATTCTTAAGCGATTAAAAGTATTTAAGTCGTACCGAAAATGGCTTTCTTTTTAGTTAAATGCGTAATCTCAGAAGAATGTACGCATATATACACGTTTAGGTGTGTTTACGGTAATACCAACGCAAAGCAATGGCAATGACAGTGATTTGTATTGTCGGTGGCATTGGTAATGCGGTGGTTGGCAGCGTTGATGAGCTTGCAATTCATAATTTCTTTCCAAAGCACGTACGACTCTTTTGTACATACATATGTATGTATTGTTGCCCTCATATAGGCACAAACAAAAACATAAATAGGTATATGTATAGGTATATTACTGTGTATACTGGCACAACTAGCTTAATGAATTTCCATTTTCAAATACGATTTTCAAAATAGTGGAAAATTTCTATTCAATATGAAAGCCAGCTTGTTTTCAAAAGTTAATTGCTCTAAGCAGCCATTTTCATGTAACTTAGTTCACTAATGTAGAAAAATACTACATAATCTCATTAGAGTAAAAAAGTAGTAGTAGTTTTCAAACAGCTGATATATTCTATACGAATAGTTGCCCACAGAATGATCTCAGCTTACTTTAATAACTGAAAAGAAAGTACATGTTGTGCCAAAGCAATTGATGACTAAAGGCAACGAGACGATCAATATGCATGATAAAGACGGCTTTTAATAAATTACACTAAATAACGAAATATATTTGTAGGTAACTAGAGGGGATTGTTTTGAAAACAAAATAGCTATATTTGTACTGTTTGTCAAGAGATGACGTAACCTGATTATAATCCCTTTGCTTAATTGCGTATTTTTCAGTATACTATGTTAAAAATGTCGAACTTTTTGCCTGAAAAAAGTGCTTTTGTGAGAAGACCTTCTCCATTACTTCGATATAAAGCCGAAATGCATAGTAGTTTGGTGGATATTTGTGGTAAATATTTCTCCAGCTCAAAGACCTTTAAGCCAAAATGGTTTTCAATATTTAAATATATTTTGACACTGGCTGAGAAAACGCATAACGTCCTGGGTGGCCTAACAAGTGTGAAGATGACGAACTGGAAGCATTACTCGATGTAGATTGTTATCCCGCACACAAAAAAGCTCGCAGCATTTTTGGGAGCCACTGAAGCAGCCATTTCAAAGCTTTTAAAAGTAGCCGAATAAATTTAAAAGCAAGAAACTTGGCTGAATTGAACCCAAGAGACGTTGAAAGACCGTTTTACAACTCAAAATATCATATGTGAAACCTGGCGAATCAACAACAAAGCCGAATATCAATGTCGTCAACCTAATGGTCTATATTTGGTGAGATCAAAAGAACGTCCTGCGTTATGAGTTTCTAAAACTGGATGAAACTACTAAAGGAAAACGCTTCTAAAATTTTGTGAAACCATTAAGAGAAACCCTTCTAAAACTGAGTGAAATCACTAAAGATAAACGCGATCGGCAACAACCCATTAAATTGAAGGAAGTGATTGCCAATAAATAGCCGGAATTTTCCACTAGCACCGATTTGAAACATTTTTGGAAAACAGCTGGGAAGTTTTCGCTCACTGGCCTTATAGCGCAGACCTTGTCACTTCTAAATTCCAATTTTTTCAATTGCTGTAGAACGTACCCACTGGATTACCGTTCACATCAGAACACGGTATCAAAAATTGGCTTGATTCATCCTTGGCCGCCAATCCGGTGAGTTGTTTTGGAATAGAATCCACAAACTGGGAAAATTATATAGCTTCAGGTGGACAATTTTTTGAATAACAATTATGTTTTCTTAAATAAATGTTCAAATTTCGAAAAAAGCATAAATATAACGGGTGATTTTTTAAGAGCTTGATAACTTTTTTAAAAAAAAAA